GCTGAATTTCCGAATTTCGGAAGTCTGAACCGAATTGTTTGCCCATGAACATCCCTAGTGTTTCCTGAGTAAGGTGTGAAGTTGACAATGCGCTCATTAGAGATGCTCTGAGGTAAGCTCACAGGTTGGAGAGAGTCGGGCCTCCCTTTGTAATCAGTCTCTGAAGAATCTTATTGTTGTTAACTCTTCGTGGGTCCAGGTGTATCACTTTCTAAAGTGGCCAATTTAGTGCGGAGCTATTTTCTCATGCATCCATTCTATTTGAGGCCCAGGACACGCACCCTGTTTTTGTCCATTTTGTTACCTTTACAGGATTTTTGTGCAATTTTATTTTTTAATATATCAACCAAAAGATAAAAAACGAACCAGACATTTTATCTTGCAGCTGTTAAAAATCATTATGCAAAATATAGGACAAATGTTAACATCAAAAGGTACAAGAATTAGTTTGTGCTTTTTGTTTTATTTGGTAATAGAGCATAAATAATTTTATGCACTGAATCTTTCTACAATTTTCTACAGGAAAAATATATATCATAATATAGACTAGACTCCTTAAGATAAATTTTCCACAAACATTTTGAGGTCTGTCGGGTATAATGGGTCATCTGAGACTTCTTTTGTTTTACTTCCATCCCAGAGAGTTTGGGATTACTCAAACTGTATCCCTATATTCCATTATCCTAAATAATTCCAAGGTTGACAACATATCAAAATGTCCAAGAGTTTAGATTTCAAACTCTATGCCCTCTCCTTCAGAAAAAAAGAAATAAAAAACAACCAAACAAAAAAATTGAAAATTAAAAAGTGGATAAAGTACAATACATTTTTTAAAAATCCATAATATTTCTTGTATTGTGAAAAAGTCAACAACGTTACTATACTATTATTTTTCCCAGCTAACTATTCATGCTGTGTGACTGCAGGGTGAATGAAATGCTCAGTCCAGAGTTCACCTATCAAATTAAATGTTTGGATATAATTGGAAATGGAGAATCAAAATAGTTGCTAATCTATATTTTTAACTTCTTTTGAAAAAAAATGTTATGGGAGAAATCTGAACACATGCTAGCTCACTAATATTTAAGTAGAAGGCAGATCAAGTTATGACACTTAAATTAAAATGAAACATGTCGACGTTCAGAATAAAGTATAGAACTAGGACTTATTTAACAACTATTCCTTTAAGCCCCATATATTAATTTTTTGTTGACCTCTGTAAGCAGAATGTGGCCCGGTCGTTTGCCTTCTCACTAGAGAGGCAGAATTGCTATAGTATTTATGTGGCATGTGTACAATTCTATTTGAATATTTGCTTGTTTCGCATTGAAGGAACATTTTTTATTTAAAAGGATTTATCCCAAAAGAGTATTTATGGGGAAAAATTACACAGGATATTACTATGAATGATGACGCTGGATTTTATAAGTGGGATTATGGATTTTAGGAAACTGTAGTTAAACTTCAGAAAAAAATACATGTTCACATCTTTTCATGTCAAAATACTTGCAAATAATGATGTGTGAATGATACTATACAATTTTTTTATAGCACAAAATGCTTTTCAAGACAGAACACTTGGCTCAAGAACATAAAGATGTTCTACAATGGAGTGCTTATCATCCTCATGTTTATCACAGCATTTGTTCGTGCACAATATAAAATAATAAATTAAAAAGATAAATTGAATCTTTTTCTGGTTAAAATGAAGAGTAGCGAAAACCGCACGGATCCCATTTTCTCCACCCTGTTTTAATGCCACAGATAGTTTCATACCAGGCATCTCAAACTCCAGCCTTCCAGATGTTTCGAAACTTCAACTCCCACGATTCTATGACCATCTATTGCATTCAAATAATGGGAATTGTAAGCCATCAACATATGGGGGTCAAAGTATGAGATTCCTGCTTTATAATCTGCGGAGATAACTCAGTGTTTAGTGCCCCAGCACAGTAAAACAGAATTTCATATTGAACTATAGACTAAGGTTTACTCAGCAATTAATCCTTCTCAGGTTAAATTAAATTCAGCATTGCACAAAGTGAATTTCAAATTTAAGAACAAAATGGTCAGAATTAGTTTGGAGAATTTTTCACTTTTTCACTAGTGAAAAACACTTTAAGTATCCAATTTATTTACTAAAAAAATCTGAATTGTAGCAAAAAAATATACAGTGCCTTGCAAAGGTATTCACCCCCTTTGAATTTTTCTTATTTTTTGGCCTCACAACCTCCAATTAGCATGGATTGTTTGAGGATTTGCATAATTTAATTTACAGAACATGCCCACAACTTTGATTTTTTTTTTTATTGTGAAGCAAACAACAAATAGGACAAAATAACAGAAAAAGTCAATGTGCATAACTATTCACCCCCCTAAAGTCAATACTTTGTAGAGTCACCTTTTTGCGGCAATCACAGCTCCAAGTTGCTTTGGATAAGTCTCTATGAGCTTGCCACATCTAACCACTGGGATTTTTACCCATTCCTCCTTGCAAAACTGCTCCAGCTCCTTCAAGTTGGATGGTTTGCACTTGTGAACAGCAATCTTTAAGTCTGACCACAGATTTTCTATTGGATTGAGGTCTGGGCTTTGACGAGGCCATTCCAACACATTTACAGGTTTCCCCTAAAACCACTCAAGTGTTGCTTTAGCAGTGTGTTTGCGGTCATTGCCCTGCTGGAAAGTAAACCTCCGTCCTAGCCTCAAATCACGCACAGAGTGTTACAGGTTTTGCTCAAGAATTACCTGTATTTAGCACCATCCATCTTTCCCTCAATTCTGACCAGTTTCCCAGTCCCGGCTGCAGAAAAAAAACAACAACAGTATGATGCTGCCACCACCATGTTTTTATTGTGGTGTTCTTTGGGTGATGTGATGGGTTTGCACCAGACATAGCGTTTTCTTTGATGGCCGAAAAGTTACATTTTTGGCTCATCAGACCAGAGCACCTTCCTCCATACATTTTGGGAGTCTCCTACATGCCTTTTCACAAACTCAAAACATGCCATTTTGTTTTTTGCTGAAAGTAATGGATTTCTTCTGGCCACTCTGACATAAAGCCCATCTCTATTGTGCGTCCGGCTTATTGTCGTCCTATGTACAGATACTCCAGTCTCTGCTGTGGAACTCTGCAGCTCCTCCGGGGTTACCTAAGGTCTCTGTTGCCCCTCTCTGATTAATGCCCTCCTTGCCTGGTCCGTGAGTTTTGATGGGCGGCCGTCTTTTGGCAGGTTTGCTGTTGTGCCATGTTCTTTCCATTTGGTTATGATAGATTTGATGGTGCTCCTGTGGATCATCAAAGATTTGTAAGTTTTTTTATAACCTAACCCTGACTTGTACTTCTCAACAACATTGTCCCTTACTTGTTTTGAGAGTCCTCTGGGGCCTTTCAAAAAAAAGGTGTATATGTAATGACAGATCATGTGACACTTAGATTGCACACAGGTGGACATCATTTCACTAATTATGTGACTTCTGAAGGTAATTGGTTGCACCAGAGCTTGTTATGGGCTTCATAATTAATATGTTTATTTCTCTTGTATATTTTATATATATATATATATTATATCTATCTATATATGGCATATCTTGGATTATTACAGAATAGCAAGAAATGTGTTTACCCTGGTAACATATCTTCCAGCTGGAATATCAATAAATGTTGATAGATGTGGCATCTATAGTTGGTTTGTCCCAGGAAGACATGCTCACTCCTGGTGACAATCCCTTCACTGATGCAAATCCATATGTACTGCACTAATTGTCTAATCTTTCACCTTATATTTATTTGATCGAGAATGCAGACAGTATTTCATTTTTTTTTTAAATTAAATATAGTGTTATTAATAAATAATATTTTGGACATTTCATGTAATATTTTATTGATCTGATCTAATTTTAGTAAATTGCTCTTTGGTTGTTATATGTAAGCCTTACTCTTTAAAGGGACACTCAAAGCACCATAACCACTACAATGTGCTTTAGTTGTTTTGACAAGAGCCACCTTTTTAACTAAATTGCTTGAGTGGTACACCAAAAAATGGGGATGCCTCTGCAACCAAACCTGCTCTGTATGTTGCCCCTAAACTACCTGCAGTCTATTATTGCTGTCAAAATGTGGATGGATAATGAAGAAATAATTATTGCAGCTAAAGAAAAAGGCATCTTAGTGCTTTCATGTATTTGTCCCATTTATGGGAATGCTTCATACGGGTTGGCTTTTATCTATTCGAATTACAGTTCAAATATTAAAAGAAGGACGTCACATTACCAAGGTTAAAGAGTCACTCTAAGCACCATCACTACTTTATTATTGCAAGATTGATGGAGCATAAAGCATCCTGAACCAACTCTCACCTCTGAGAAAGGCTTAGAACTACAATGATTTGTTAAAAAATAAGTTAATCAGGCAGTCCACAGTGAGAATTCCGTGGAACCTTGGCTGAGTTTGTGTCACATGCACTTCTATTCATCCTAAGAGATGAAGTGACTAGCACTTTAGGGATAAACTACTTACCTCACAGGCCACTTCTGTGGACTGGAATGACACTGGGAACTTCAAAAGGGAGTAACAAGTTTATTTTAAAATTGTATTTCAACGCACTATCTTTGTAAATCAGTAATAATAGGTGGTTCAATTTATCCCATAGTTTCCCTTTGACAGAGGTTTTGAAAATTTGATATGTTGAACCTTTAAATTTAATTGTGGCCACTAAATTCAAAACTAGTGCTTAAAAGTATATATTTGTAAAGACAAATTTTATTAATGACACGGAGGCTCCTATTATGCTATCTCTTTCTTACTTTATTCCTCAGCAGCAAAGAGAAATATAAAACTGAAAGAGAAAAAATTTAAATATGAAATATAATAACAGGTACAACCAGATCTGCCTAGTAACAGGGCAGCCAATCAGCTTAGTAGGAACAGTCCATAAATGCCTTGCTTAGTACTTCCACTTCCTCTTTCTTTGCTGCTGTCCTCAGACCAGCTAAGTATAATTTTACCTCCTGTATATTGATCTGTATTTTGATTGTCAGGGTGGTTTTGCCCTGATTATTTATATTACTGATTGTGGCTTTTGCTTTTAGTAATTATATTTGTGTTTGATTGTTATTATTTGCTTTTCTCTCCCCTTTGCCCGGTCTCCCTGCTTGTGCTGTATTTCTGTCAGCACAAGCTGGGATCCGCGGCTCTCAGTGGAAGTGTTTTGCATTTGGAGCTTCTGGCTCCCTGTTCCCTCCTTATCTGCCGGCCCGATCAGTCTCCTCGCACCCGCTGGTGCGAGGGAGTTCCCGGCCGTGTGTGTACCACGCACTCCCCAGCCATTGGCGTGTGAGGAGCTCCGGGTACCCGCAGCGCGCTCTGCTCAAGGCGGCCATCTTGGATTATCGGCACACACGTGGCTGGGTCTGCTCGGCGGGTCGGCTCCCTCCTTACCTCCCCTTTCGTTTTTCCTTTACTGTGCAGGTATTTTTTGTGGGTTACTCAACCCCTGTTAGGTTGTTTGTGTTAGGATACTTTCATTCTATTGTTTACTGCATTACTGTTCCCTGTGGGGATTTTTACAGTACATTTAATATCTGTTTTGGGTTCTGACAGCCCCAGCTACCCCATTATGGACCCCATGCAAACCCCTGTCACTGGGGAAAGTGGCCTCACTCCCTCCCAGGAGTTCCAGGCCCTCATTGACTCCACCATGCAGAGGGCTCTGGCTTCGGCCATGGGATCAGTATCCTCATCCCTGTCTCACACCATTCAGCAGGCGTTGTCCCAACCCCTGCCTCCCTCTGTGGTACCCAATTCTCAGCCTGTGCTGCAGCCTCAGTCTGGCCGCAAAGCACAGGCTAAACGGAAACACGTCTTCCATGATATGATACAGGTGAAACCTGCCCTGACTGACGTGCCTATGGCCGTCCAAGATGGCGCGCTACCGCACAAGAGAGCCGCTGGCCGAGCAAAATCGGCTGGAAAAGGGAGCGTGCCCATGTTGATGATAGATCTGACTCAAATCAGAGTGAGGAGTCGTGCTCGGATGCCCATAAGTACACCTCTTATGAGGAAGGGGGCTCCGATGCTGAGGCGGGGTCTGACGCTTCGGCACTACCTCCGGGCGAGGGGCAAGACATGTGCGATCCGCAGGGTTACCCCCTGTTCGATCCTGATGATCTTCGCCATCCCCGCTTGGCGGAATGGGACCCGCCCAAGCATATAGCTAACTACCTAGCCCTTCGCATGCGCACTCCTCTGTCCAAGGAGGGGAGCAGTAAACTACGGGCTGAATGCCCAAGGCCCTCAGTGCCTGATGCAGCGTGCAAGACGCCAGAGGTAGACCCTCAGATTACTCAGTTACTGGCAAAAACGGGCTGGAAACCCAAGAAGGGGCTGGAGTTCTCACTCCATAATTGCCAGGACAACATTTTAGACACCCTGGGGCCCGCTGCCAAGCTATATGAGCTATTAGAGGCAGCTAAGGCGGGGGACAACCCCCTGGATTTTGATGAGGCGATAGGATGGGTACGAAGACTGATTTGCCTTTTGTCGGCCGAACGCTGCAAAGCGATCTTGCTCAAGATTGAGCCAAAAATAGTAAATCTAGCGGTGAAAGAACCGGGTGCAGCTGCCAAGGGTATGCTCTTTGGTGAGTCCTTTGTTAAGGACCTGGGCTCCTTTGTGCGCACCTTCACCGCCCTGGACAAAGCCCAGTCTAACTTAAAACGGGTTTTTAGCCCAAGGGTTTTCCATGGGGCCGGGAGGTACAGGAGCCGCCCGCCCGCCCGGCTGTGGAGCTCGAGGTCCCTCACGGACTCACAGAGGTTCCTTTACTGCCCCTCGGGCCTACCAAGATTACAAACCGGCTCCTTTCTTTCCCTCACGCGGGAGACCATGGCAGAATCGAGGAGGACGTGGTCAACCCTCATACAGACGCCCTTACGGTAAGTACCCCCATATGTGCGTTTTCACATTCAAACGTGGGTGGCAGACTGGCACTGTATTTCGATATGTGGGGAATGATCACCACAGATATGTGGGTTCTGAATACGGTCAGGGGTTTCCGCCTAGATCTGTTGTCTCCCCCTGTCCAGGTTTTGACACCACAGGAACTGAGATTGCCGGCAGAGCAGTCCAAACTCATTACCAAGGAGATTTCGGAACTTCGAGCCAAACGGGCAATACAGGAAGTCCCGTACGACCACCCGGTGTTCCTAAGCAACCTGTTCCTTGTTGCCAAGAAGGGCAGAGGTGTTCGACTGGTTATAAATCTCAAACACCTCAACGAATTCCTCCGCTACCAACACTTCAAGATGGAAGGCATTCATTGTCTCAGAGACTTGCTTCGGCAAGGAGACTGGATGGTCAAACTGGACCTCAAAGATGCCTATTTGACTATTCCAATGGCAGAAGAACACTGGGACTTATTGCACTTTACGTGGCAAGGACGTCGATGGAGGTTTACCTGTCTGCCCTTCGGTCTCTCTTCAGCACTTTGGTGCTTCACAAAGGTGATAAAACCGGTAGTGGTGTTCCTCAGGTTCTGGGGAGTACGCATGATTATTTACCTGGACGACATCCTGATTATGTCTGCGTTCCCTGAACAACTTCTACAGCATCTGGGCTGGACGGTGGATCTTCTGGAAAACTTAGGTTTTCTTATAAATTGGGAAAAATCCATGGTGAGCCCGGTGCAGAAAATAGAATTTCTGGGTTTCGAAGTCGATTCGGTCGCCCAGTTCATGTTCCTTCCAGAGCACAAACTAAAGGCTATGAAGAAGGAAATAAGACGTACGCTACAGACCACCTCTCTCCATACGACAATTGGCGAGGGTGATTGGCCTTTTGGCCTCCTCCATTCAGGCAATTTTCCCGGGACCCCTACATTATCGGGCCCTGCAACATCTGAAGGGATCCCACCTTGCTCGGGCCGTTCGTACGAAAGCAAACTACGCCTGGACAGAGACTCCAAGGAGGAACTACGGTGGTGGTTGGACCATATGGAGGCATGGAATGGTCGAGCAATCTTCGGTACCGCTCCGGATATGGTGATAGAATCGGATGCCAGCCTGCATGGTTGGGGCACTCGCTGTGGAAATGTCTCCGCAGGTGGCAGATGGTCCGAAATCGAATCGAAACTACACATAAACTGTCTGGAATTGCCGGCGGGATCATTCGCCATTCGCAGCCTGTGAAACTGCTGCGTCCTTCTGCGCATGGACAATGTGTCCGCGGTCAGATATATAAATCACCTAGGTGGCACGAAATCAAAACAACTGGCAAACCTGGCAAAGGACTTCTGGCAGTTTTGCCTCCACAGCGCGGTGTCGGTTACGGCCGAACATATCCCGGGCTTGGACAACGAATGGGCGGATTGGAATTCACGCTACTTGAAAGACTCAGGAGATTGGCACCTGCTGCCTTCGATCTTTCGACAGATAGATCAACTATGGGGCCCGTTACAACTGGACTTGTTAGCATCCAGACTGAACTCTCAACTACCCCAATACTTCAGTTGGAGGCCGGATCCATCAGCCACGGCGGTGGATGCGTTCCTGCAGACATGGCCTCGGGGTCGTCACTTTGCGTTTCCCCCTTTCAACCTGATCTCTCGCACGCTGGCATACTTGTCCAGACAAGAGTGCACATTGGTAGTGATAGTTCCCCTATGGCAGACTCAGCCTTGGTTCCCGCGTCTCTTGGAGATGGCGATGGATTGCCCACGGATGATCAAGTTGCGACCAGATGTGCTTCTGGATCCGGATGGAGACTCACACGAATTGGTGGACCAGGACCTGCTCCAGCTCACGGCGTGGTTGATTTTGGGGGACCCTGGTGTGTCACAGACGATCCGCAGGCTACTACAAGACTCCTGGAGAATGCCTGGGCACCGGGTACCAGAACAGCTTACAAATCTGCACGGCGTGTGTGGTCTGGCTGGTGCGTGGGAAGACTGCTGGATCCCCTTTCTGCCCCTCTGAAGGAGGTGCTCAGTTTTCGGACTACACTTTTTGAATTTGGTTTGGCCTACCGCACTATTAATGTTTATAGATCAGCCATCTCGGCCGGACATCTAGGTATTGACGGATCACCGGTTGGACAACATTCTTTTGTATGCCGATCGTTGAAGGGTATTCGTTACTCTAGGCCTCCGAAATCCAGGTATTCATCGTTTTGGATGTTAACGTAGTGCTGGGCTTCTTGGAATCGTGGCCTCTTAATGAGGAGCTGTCACTGAAGCAATTATCCTGGAAACTGATTACGCTCCTGTGTCTCCTTTCATGCAAAAGGGTTTCGGATGTCAGGGCTTTGGACTGGAACGCGTTATCCTTCACCCCCGAGGGAGTGTCGTTTAACATCTCTAGGAGGACTAAGACGTCTTCTAAGTTGGTGACCTACCCTAGGTGTTCAGTCCGACCTGCTCTGTGTCCGGTGGCTTGCCTACGGGTGTACTTGGATCGCACTCACCAATTGAAGTCATTGGATTTGTCCCAATTGTTTATTTCCTTTAAGAAGCAGTTTCTCCCGATCTCCTCGACTATGTTAGCTCGTTGGATTAAGAAACTTCTTTCTGCTGCAGGGATCGATACTTCAATATTTTCGGCTCATTCGGTCTGGATGATATCTTGAAGGCAGCGGATTGGTCTAGAGAATCTACGTTCTGCGATTTTTATTTCCGCCCGATTGACCATGTTTTCTCGTTAGTTGTGGCTCAGCTTTAAACTAGCATAATAGGGGCCTCCATGTCATTAATAAAATTCCCAGATTTTACTAATAACATGACGTAAAGTCATGATTTTATTAATGACACGGAGGCGAGTATTATTCCCACCCACCCACCCGTTGGGTATGGTTTGGATCTACAATTATGTCGGGGGGGGGATCTTTTACCTCAATGTAAGTTCACGTTTTTTCTCTTGATTTATGACATATAGTGGGGTCTATTGACTTTCTGCTTATGTGTTTTACAATAGTTGGTGTATATAGTCCTACAGGCCAGATTGTCATGATATGTTACATTCAGATCCGGAGTTTGGATTTTACCTACTATTTCTCTGTTTTACAGCTTGATTTCGTTGTGATGACGTCTACCTTGTTGGAGATTGTTCTTTCCTGATGTGGATATTTGGTTTGGGTCTTCGGTTCAGAAGGCAAAGAAGAGGAAGTGGAAGTACTAAGCAAGACATTTATGGACTGTTCCTACTAAGCTGATTGGCTGCCCTGTTACTAGGCAGATCTGGTTGTATCTGTTATTATATTTCATATTTAAATTTTTTCTCTTTCAGTTTTATATTTCTCTTTGCTGCTGAGGAATAAAGTAAGAAAGAGATAGCATAATAGGAGCCTCCGTGTCATTAATAAAATTTGTCTTTACAAATATATACTTTTAAGCACTAGTTTTGAATTTAGTGGCCACAATTAAATTTAAAGGTTCAACATATCAAATTTTCAAAACCTCTGTCAAAGGGAAACTATGGGATAAATTGAACCACCTATTATTACTGATTTACAAAGATAGTGCGTTGAAATACAATTTTAAAATAAACTTGTTACTCCCTTTTGAAGTTCCCAGTGTCATTCCAGTCCACAGAAGGAGATCTCACTACAGGATGAAAATTATCTCAGCAGGAATCAAAATTACACATAAATTGTCTAGAGTTATTAGCAGGATCTTTACACTCAAAAGTATTGCGAAGGACCAAGTCAACTCATGCATTCTTCTACGCATAAACAACATTTCTGTAGTTCAATGTACCAACAGGTTGGAAGGTACCAAATCCAAAGATCTGACAGAGTAGTTAAAAATGTTTTGTCATTTTTGTCTAGACCGAGGTATTACTCTGAAAGCCGAATACTTACAAGGACTGTTCAATGTTGTAGCAGATTGGAATTCCAGACATCTACATGATCCCAGCAACTGGAAGTTAAACAATCAGACTTTTGACAAATATTGGGCCCATTAGACATAGACCTCTTTTCGTCCTGTTTAAATTGGCATTTACTTAAGTATTTCAGTTGGCATCTGGATTCAGAAGCTTTAGCAGTGGATGCATTTTGAGAAGACTGGTCACAATGATTCCCAGAGGACTAACCCAGATGGAATGCCAGATGGCTTCCTTGGTTTTCATAACCCCATTGTGGCCAACTAAACAATGGTTTCACCATCTCTTGGAACTAATCATGGATTTTCATGGAATCATACCGTTTTAGGAGAATCTTCTATCAAATCCATCCATTGATTCTGGATCGTCAGTTAACACTTGTCGTTTGGCTAGTTTTGGGGAATCTTTGTTTCAAAATGCATTTTCACACTCAACTCAAGACATCTTATCAGAAACTTGACATCCAGGTACCTGAGTCAATACTGATCCTCCTCTTTCACTTTCCTTTCAAGTTAGTGGTACACACATCAGCCCATCCTTGCAAGCACGCTGTCTTGGCATTATACTTGATTCTGGCCTCACCTTTGAGCCTCACACCAAGTCTGTCACCAAATCTGGTGAATTCCACCTTGAAAACATTGCCCGCATCCGCCCCTTTCTTACGCAAGATACAACTAAGGAGCTTGTCCATGCTCTAGTAATCTCTCGCATGGATTATTGTAACACTCTCCTAACTGGTCTTCCCAAAAACCGTATTGCCCCGCAACAGTCTGTAATGAATGCTGCCGCCAGACTGATTTTCCGTTCTAGTCAGTCCTCTCACACCTCACCCTTCTGTCAGTCCTTATGTTGGCTTTCTGTATTCTATAGGAGTCTATTCAAAGTACTAAGTCATACCTATAAAGCACTGAACAATTCTAGCCCCTCATATCTCTTCACAGATCCATAGGTATGCCCCTTCTCAGTCTCTCCGCCCCGCCTGTGACAACCTGTCTCAAGCTTGCAGGACTTCTTGTGGGCAGGTCCCTTCCTTTGGAAAAGCCTGTATATTACCAGACTCTCCCCTTGTCTTCAATTGTTTAAGAAGTGCCTTAAAACACATCTCTTCAGGAAAGCTTATAGCCTCCCAGGGTAACCTACATACCCGCCCCTTGCTCTCTCCTAAAGGGTGACACTCTACTCTCTCCTCCAGCTCTGCCTGACTCCCACCTTATTTGATTGTGGTTTCCTGTCCTATTATGTTTTATACCCCACCTCCTATAGACTGTAAGCTTGTTTGAGCAGGGTCCTCTTCATCCTTTTGTTCCTGTAAGTTTTGGTAATTCTCATTTATTGTTAAATCTCCCCCTCTAAAAATATGATAAAGAGCTACAGAATCTGTTGTCACTATATAAATACAAAAGGATAAGTCCTGCGCTCACTCCCATCACTCTTGGGCGGCAGCAATGACCACAGTATACATCAGCCCCAATATATACAGTAAAAACCAAAGAAAAAGTTACCTGCGCTCTCTCCAGAATCCCTATGTATTTTTAAACAAATGGAGGTAATTTAGTTACTCCAGTGGCTATTGGAAGGAATGCCCGCCTGCCAACGTCAAGGCAAACCCCCTACGCGGGTCCAACTACTTACCTTTTGCTATACAAATGCCAATAACAATATCTGAAACTTACCCTGTTATTTTGTCTCATTCCTTTCAAATGTGTTTCAGATGGCAAAGCACTTGATATCCATAATTAAAGTTTCTCTCCAGAGGGCGCATTAAGACTAATCATTCTTTAGTATTTTATCCTGCTTTTTCTCAAAATCCTGAACGATGTGTTGTTTACTGCTTAAAAATGTCCAAATTGAAAACATTAAGAACTCCTAATGCTTCTAACTCCAACTTTTAATCTCTTTTTGGAATCCTTATCTTCCAGCAGGTAGGGTCATTATTGTTAAAATCTGTAATTCATCTTGCATGCATTGACATTTCCCTTTTTGGATTACATTCATCTCAATTAGCTATGGCTAATAAAGCATATCTTACTGGAGGTAATCTTTACGACATTCTCAACACAGCTGATTGGTCTGTAGAATCGACCTACAAACACTATTACTTGAAGCGGTCCCCTTATGTCACTATGCGTGTTTTAAAGTAATGGATTTTCTGGCTTCCAACTAGCACAATGTAAGCCTCCTGTCTTAATTAAAATTCTAGATTTTTCTAACATTAGTGACTTAAAGTCACGATTTTATTAAGACAGAAGTCGAGTTTTATCCCACCACTTGTTTTTTTGTATGCCCTCCCTTGTTTCTGAACACTGATTCATTTATGCTTATAATCTTTCTCACAGAGTTTCTTCTTCTTGTCACATATCCTTTAAGGAAAAGTTCTTCAAGATAATTTTTTCTCCCTCCGGATTACCTTTTGAATCCAGTTTACCGTTTTATTTGTCCTCATTCTACTACATTGTTGACTGTTGCAGTCAAATAAAGAGGACTGGGTTGCTATGTATATAGACTGTACTCGTCTTTGTTGTTCAATATGTTTTTGTCCATGTTATATCGTTTCAGGTTTGTTTTCACTGTTAAATTTTTTTTTTTTATCTTTTTGCTTCTATTTGAGTAGTAAAGAAAGTTAAAGCATAATATCCGTAATAAAAGTTTCTCTCCAGCTAGCGTGACTAAAGTTGGAAAAATCTAGAATTTTATTGTGGCACCCACACTTTGATAAGTTTGTTTGGCTCCACAGAATTTCTGTACTAGAAACCCAATTTGGAAACAAATCAGTTAAACTAAAAGGAAATGAAAATGGCCAATCAGTGTACTGCAAATAATATACACAATATTTTACATAACTATTTTGCAGAACACTAGTAGGAGAATTTTCCCAGAAAGAAAAAGTAACCAATAGAGGTAAAAAGTGAAGGAGCGATTAAAAAAAAATCAATCTAGATTTATATAGAATTTAGATTTCTTACGGCTTGTTTTCCCCTCTACTGGTTACTTCTCACTTGATCTGTGAATACAATCAACATTTAGGAAAAGTCCCCCAGCTGTCAATCATCTTTATTCTCAATCAATCATCTCTTTTTTTGGTGCCAAAAGATGGAATTCAGAATCATGAATCAAAACTAATATGCTCGGCCACTGGCATTTAATTTGAATGTGTTGTGAGTCAGATACATTTTGGTTTGGAGTTCGGGAATTCAATCCATCATCTGTTTGATCCAAATTCGGACGAGTTGCAGTGCAAGCTATAGTATTAATGATGCATTGCAGGGATTTGGGATTCGTTACAATCTTATATACCTGCTACCCTTTCATTAGCCCAAGCAGAATTTCTTCTTTTACCTAAATTCTTGACTTTTCTTGCCATTTTACTAGTGTGTAGGGATCACTAGCTATTCCTGACACTCATCAATCCCTGGTATGTTTGGTACAAGTGCACATTTCCAGTTCTTAATACTATGATTTCTCTTTTGATCTCAGAACCACACTGGGAATCCATTTTTTTAGCCAAAAACCTCATTGGCGCATGACCTGCTTTTACATTTTTAATTAAAAAAAAAAAAAAAAAAAAAATATTTTTTTTTCCCCAAAGAACAGCATTAAACCAATTTGCAATACTGCTTTTTCACATAACGGTTTTTATGAAGAATTATCATTTTATGTGGCTTGTTGCCCTTTTCTTAAAGTGACTTCATCTTAAGAAATTTTGATTTCCTTTGATTGTTACAATAGAGGAAAATTACAGGGTCACTGAAAACTCTAAAGCAGCCAGTTTTTCCAGGTGAAATGGTTTTCAGCAATGCCACGAGCAACATGGCCTCTTTAGCCTTGTGGTATCATGAACTTTGTCTGGACCCTCATACCTTCAGCGTCCCCATTTTCCATTCCTCTTTTCAATTTTATTTTTCCTTAGCAAATGCTAGGTATGTCCTAGTTCTACTCCTAGCACATTTATGAGGGCACCGCAGTTCTTCAACTACAAGAGTGTCCTTCAAATGTCCCACAACAGTTTTTCCAAAGTACAGAGTTGAAATATCCACGTATTTGCTGGCCTTGTCCAGCCTCCATTTATAGCATTTACAGCTTGAAGATTAATGCTCAAGAAATGTTGTTTTGAGACAGACATACCTTCGTGTTAATTTGTGCTATAAATGCAGTCATTTTTGAAGTGTTTTTTCCACAGCTGACAATATGGATTAAGCAGCATTGCCACTACAAAATGGCAATGCTGTCCCAATTGCTATTTTCTTCTAGCAAATCTGTCTCCATTTCCTTCAAGTAACTAAACAAAGTTTGTTTCTGCTCCAGATCCAGCACATACAGATTTTAATAAGATTTATTTTTAGAATAAATTGTGTCCAAAACCTTTTCATTGGCAGAACGAAAAAAAAACCCTTAACCGGATTCAGATGAAGGAAGTGTCACACTTGATTGGCAAAAACAGGCATTAAAGAAAAACTAGTTTATGATTAGACACTTACTTTATTGTTCTAATCAAATGGTTTTATCACTATTAATACAGCTCCACCTACTGTCCAGTCTGCCAAACACACTCATTATGGACTAGATTTTAATAAAATTAAAATCAATAAAATGTCAAATCAAGTGATTTTTATCACTTAATACCCTTTTTTCCAGCTTTAATATATTATGCCAAGAGAGTAATATGCCATCCATTATGCTAACACTCATTTTGCTACTACCCCATCATTGGAGCCCCTAGTGGTCCAAGAATATACATGGACACAGATCAATTGACCCCCATATACCCAGAGTTAGGAGTTTGTGTCTAGCAATCACTTCTTCGACCTTGTTAAGGTCACTCAGATCTTTGTGCTTGCCCGTTTTCCCCGCTTACAACATATGAAATAAAGAACTGACTGTTCACTTACTGCCTAATATATCCCACCCCATTGACAGATGCCAATGTAACAATATAATTAATGTTATTCACTTCACCTGTCATTGGTTTTAATGTTGTGGCTGATCAGTGTATGTATAAGAAGCTACATCCAAAATGTTCAAGTAAATCACGCTGTTAAGCCCCCAATCTAAATCTGTATATTGCGTAATAGATGATGGCTAGATCCCCCAAGAACAAAGCAGCAGTGACAAAAGACTAACATAATTATTGCACGCGATTAAAAGGATGGATTTATGGGTCATATTAACAGCCGCGACCCACCAAAAAAAACAAACCCAGATACATATATTTGTTTCTGTCACATCTTGTAAGGTAGAAAGATCCAATCAATGTCTAATAAACATTAATACCATTAAATATGTTTGGTTTTTCTAGATACCTCAAATATCAACAAATTCCTTGATTCCTTGTTATTTCTAAACCTTAGTCTCATATTGTAAAGGGGGCTTGGAAATATGGTGCAAGTAGTTACATATGTGGGATTTGGGTTTTATTATACAAAAACATGTGGTGTGGATTGTGCGGTTACAGCTAATGTTTTGTACATTGTCAATTTTTATTTGAATGAAGGTAAATACTAAGCAGGAAATAAAAAAGGGGTCTCAAGACATTTTTTTGCCCACTTTTTTTCAGTTTGCAGCGTGACATCACATATTGCTGTATAATTCTTTGAGACAATAGCTTTCTGCAGCCAAAATTAATTTCATGGTAATTACAAATTAATCTAAATCTACGGCTGACGTCTATTACCCAGTGCAAACGTCCTTAATCCAATAGCTTTCACAGCTGAACTACAACTATCCTTCTGAAAGCAACAGCACAACTAGGATTGGCTGGGGCACTTTTTTTTTTTTTTTTTTAATTCCTTATGTAGACGGTTCATAAAAAGGTGCTCATTCACAGACTAGTGTGCCTTGTAGGGTTTTATTTTTGGGGGGGGGGACAAGTTAAAAGTTTGCCTAAAACTTACCTCCCACTTAAAAGATCAAAAAAGATTGTTACTTTCCACTGGTTTTGTGTATGTCCAAGATACAGAATACAAATCTGTGTTTTGGTTTTAAATCATTCTTTGTGTATTTACAATACAATCAGAAACTTTATTGAGAGTTGCAAAGTCATAAAGACAACATAGAAATAACAGAAGCTATTATGTTTATTGTGCTAAACAGACTGTGGTAATCCATTTTAAGAAAAACGGTCAGCAAGCAAGCAAGCATTCAAGAAGTACAATCACAGACAAGGAGTCTATGCAGGGAGCAAGGCAAAGCTATAATACACTCAAAGATGAGAATTAAAAGCAAACTTCGGTTAAGCATTTTGATACTTTCTGTCCTGCACACCTCACGCTCGATGCAGGAATATCAAGAAAGTAAAATGTCCAGTCTTATTTAGCAGTGACCTGTCAACAGCAAAGAACAGTCTTATAAAATTTATCTCCCACAAAAAATAAACTATATGTATAAAAATTTATAATGTTCTTTCTGTTGGCATGGCCACAAGCTGCTTTTATTCAGTCAGAGGAAACACAAAACAAATCAAAAAAACAAGACAAATGAGGTATAGCAAACCCTAAGAGGTAGTAATGTGTTTTTCTGATTGTACTAAAATATATAGAAAATAAACATGATTAAGTTCAGAGCCGTGAGCCTCTCAGTGCTTAATGTCAGAGTAACATTCTTCCCCCTTGAAATATCCACTTTAGATATGCCACATAGCTTGTACTGGCAGGTATAATCATTGCCAATAATAACAAATTGCATACTTTAAATTTAATTCAAAGTAATTGTAGCTTTATACAAAAGCAAAAAACATGACGATGGTCATATAACCATGTCCGAACACAAATGTAATTGAAAAATCAAATTTCAAATTATTCAAGAAACTGTGCTGCACCAATTACAAATCTATACATTTTTTTTTTTTTTTTAAATCAATCGCCTCTCTCCTCAAATTTTCTGGCATGAACAAAACAGGCCAATAGCAGCAAAACAGTTTGAAATAAAGTCTTAACATTTTATCGGAAAAAAGTTTTCTCATTGCGATTACACTGACAAAAGCATTTCTGAAGAACTCTCTCTGATTCAGATATTAATACATTGTTAATGTGTGTAGATACTGGCTATAAAAACAAAACAAAAATCTACTTGAGCATTTAAAATAAATCTGAATGAAACTCAATATATATATATATTTATATAAAAAAAAAAATCATCACATTGTGTAAAATACATGAAAATGTCAAATGCATGTCAATTCCCTCCATTTAAAACACATACTTTTGATTGCATTTGCAAGAGCAAACATTGCATTTTCCCCACCAACAATGTTTCAAGTTTCTTTGCAGGATCGTACTAGTGGGCATTCAGACCCATATCTAATAGGGTATCTAATGCAAGCACCGCTCAGTAAAAACAGAAATACAAGTGCTTTTTATGGTGTCCTACAGAAATACTTGGACTCTGTTCACCCTAGATTGAGCAGACTAGCACAAAAATGTTAAAGGGATACAAGATGTCATTAAAGGAACACTATAGGCAAAAAACAAACAAAAAAAATCATCAACTTTAGCTTAATGAAGCCGTTTGGGTACATAGATTATACCCCTGCAGTCTCGCTGATCAATTACTTGCCATTTAGGAGTTAAATCATTTTTGTTTCTGTTAATATAGCCCTAGCCACACATCCTTTGGCTGTGACTCTCACAGCCTGCATATATAAATGGTTACATTTCCAGTCAGATGTTAACAGACTTTAGATGTTTTTATCTCATGCTCTGTAAATTAAATGTAATAACACGCTGGAGGCTCCTGTAGGCTCTAAAAGACTAATAACAGAGCAGGAGATATTCTAAATTAAACCGAAAGTGCAATAAAGAATCTAAAATATCCAGGTTCCTTTTCAGGAAGGCACATACTATGAGGTATCATTTGGACTGTGCAAACAAAGTGATAATTCCTAAATGGCTGAGGATTGAGCAATGAGCCTGCAGGGACATGGCTTATACAACAAAAATTAAGCTAAAGTTGTTGTACCTATATTATCCCTTTAGGCATCTATAGTTCCTATAAAGTTTCTTACTTTTATGTCACATTTCCAATACTCAAAGCTCCCAAACTATAGCAACTATAGTTTTATATATTGTATGTCATGACGGTCTTCTAAAAAAACAAAAACAAAAAAACACAACATGACAAACAGAAATGAAACAATTCCCTTTTAAGCATTTGAATGCTGAACTGCTCACAGAGGGAACATGACTTGGAACAGGGATTAAATGCAGTCCTAAAATGAAATGAGCATTTCTATAAA